CTCTCTTCACTGTCTGTTCACAGAACTTCCACTTAACTAAAGGCACTTACCTAAAATTTCTAGATTAAGTAAAAAGAATTTGGTCACAGGATTTCATCAAGTGGATGGGGAAATTAAACTATTAGGAACAGTGTAGGATGGTTTGAATGCAACACTGCACAGATTTTAGCAAATCCCAAGCCTATTTTGAGATTTGGAAAAGTTCAGTGAAAAGTTTTTTTGAGTAATTTTGACAGGTCTTTTGAACCTGTGAAACAGATGAAGCAGAATTTTCTTTGTTTTGAGTAGCAATAACTCCAGCAGATTGTTGACTCTCAGGATGATTAGGGGACTAAAACACAGAGACTCTCCTACCACAAAGGGTCACTGCTGCTATGCACTTAAAACTAGGTTTTAAGCTTCTGGAGGAATGGTTGTAGGCATAGCACTCTCAGGAGTTCTCGGATGGAGCTATCCTACTTCTTTGTCTGCAATGGCCAGTTACCAGATTTTGACATTGGTAGTTGACTAGAGCATACAGGTCCACCTCTAGCCCGCATCTGTCATACACAGTAGCAGTGGCAAGCTCTGCCCTATTTGCCTCGTTTATTCTGGAAGTATTATGCTATCTGGATGAAGAAATGTTCTGTTGCTGCTTCTGAGCTTCCATTTTTCTCACTTAGCCTAGTCTCAGGCATCAATATCCATCTGAGTTCGGCAAGAAAAAAAATCCCCATTTCTCGTCAAGGAGAAGTTACTACTGTTCTGGTAAGACTTCCTCTAACTCTGCCAATCTTAAATGATCCTACTATATGAGGGAGAGATCCTGTATCTTTTAAAAATATTTTTAAAGGAAGCAGGTTTATTGTAAAGGAAGAATTGTTTTCCATGGAGAGGAAAATCATAATACTGCTTGTGATATTTCTCTGCATAAGAAGGTCTGGCAAGATCTGGCTATGGCATCATGAACTAGCAAAACCCAGAATGATACTGTTGAATGTATATTTCCAAAATAGCTGATAATGACTAAAGAAAAACCTCACTTTTGGGGGGATTTTTTTCCTGCAATACTTATTCCCTGTTTTGGTCAAGCAATTGAGGTGCAAAAGCCAAGATTCAGTTATGGGATTTAGTTTGATATTCCAAGAAAAATGTCATGAAAAAAAGGCTGCCATTTCTTTAACGTTTGGTTCTGTAAAGCCCTTTCAAGTTGAGTACTAATTTATTCTAGAAATGACACCATCAAATTCACTGACAAGAACAGTGGTAGATGCTGACCTTTAAAATTCTTTAGTTCACAATGGATTGTTTAGCTGTGTTTATATCAGCAGGGCATAATCATAGTCCTTTTCTGCAAATGCCTACTAGTTACTTTTCACCCTAAACAAGCAATCATGGACACTGTGTCCAGATTTAAATCAAAGCAAATTTCCAAAGTTCTATACTCCTGTGCCTTTTTTCCTCCCAGCACAATGTGTGACATGGAGAGTATCCATGCACTCAGCTAATATGGATCGAGCCATTATCTAATGAAGAGTGTAAAACCAATCATCTCAACTTTTTGTAGCACTACCTTCGAAAGAGCACTGAAGATTACAGGGCAGACATGAGTAGTTTAGCTTACGTAACTTTAGTCCGAAAATTTTGCAGAGCTGTAATTCATTATTCATGTGCTATTATAATAATGATAAGGAGTTTAAACATGGCTGTATTTGAAAATAAATATTGTAAAAGTGTATTAAAGCATTCTGTAGAGCTGATGGTAACCATAAAAGCAAAAGCTGTACAAGTATGTAATATGAATGGAAAATGGAATATAGCCCCAAATCAGTTTTCCCAAATCAGTTACAGCTAAATCTCAAGCAACCACAGAAGAAAAGACACTCAACTGCTAATGATGTGTATGCTACAGAAACAAATATTCCACATATCCTTTGAAAGGAATAGGATGAATGAAAGTATCTTGCAAGCCAACTCTGCTCTATGTGCTTCTATTTGATATTCAGCTTCCTTGCAGTGATTGTTAACATGTTATTTCCTTTACCTATTAATCTGTGATGAGACCAGACGTCTTTTAAGAGTATTATTCTTGTTCACTTTATTCTGTCACTTAACAAATTTATTCCATGGCTGGTGATTGAACATAAGTATGCAAGACTTCTCTAACATCAGGTGCGTCAGAGAGAAGCATTTATTCTAGAGTGTACAGAAGTGCACAGCCAAAATGATACAGTAGCTGCTGCCCTAGTAGACATGGTATGGAGTGCTGTCATCAGAATTGATTCAGCTGAGTATTTTTGCTATGTTCCTTTGATTTACCTTTTATTAGTGGTTCATGTATCTTTAGTGATTTGGGACTACATTCTCTTTTTTCATTAGAATTCCATGCTTGCTCTGGCTATTTGGTTATAGCTGATACTCTCAGATTTCCAAGGTGCTATGTATTCTTGTACAAGTATTTTCTAACAACATGTGCATCAGACAGAAGGCTATGATTTCATAGCTCACAGACATACATGGCCAAAATAATATAGTAGGTGGTGAACTGCAAAAACGTATGTAATGGTGTCAGCATATGGTCATGATTCAGTTACCTGAGGATTTTCTTAGTAGTCTCCTTTAATTAATTAATTAGTTAGCATTTCTTGCACCTGAATGCTTGCTTTCTCTTACACATGGATAAGGGTCGGTGCACAGTGCCATAATGACCATGCCACCCATGGTGTATGGGTGGGTTCTCAAAACTGAGAGCTGACCATGTCAGCTCATGAAATTGGATGCTTTCTTAGTGCAGACATATCTCTTGACATGGGTACTGTTGTTATGGTATCAAGTTTGTAATGGGCATTTATTTCATTCATCAATAATAAGGTAATTATTTGAGCAGAGAGAGAATGTGGGTTTGACTAGACCCAGCCCATTTCCTCAGCGCCAACAGTAGAAATTGCTATTTCTACTATAATAGCACAATGGTAGAAATTGAGAGAAAACGCCTCTGGTAGTTGAGGCACTGATTTGGCACAGAAGAACATGGCAAAGCAGTATTTCAAATCTTAGTCTCTCACAGCCTTGGTGAGCCCTCTAACCAATCAGCTATCCACTCTTCTGAGCTAGGAGTCTACCTATTCATCAGAAAAGGTCTGGGGTTTGGTTTAGTTCAGAACAAGAAAATACCACAGAATCAGAAACTTAGCAGGTTTAGGATTATTATGTCAGATTAACATTATTACTAGCTATACTCTGTAGTAGAGAGTAGTGGAATGGAAGAGCTGGTCTCAATTTGGTTTATTCGGTTTACCGCAAAGCAGTTGCATATGCAATTTGCCTGTGGGGTTGTCTGTCAATTTGTTCTTGAAAAGCCAGGTCAACAATAAGCAAGTATTTTTGCATTGTGTCATATCCTCTGTCTCTTAAAAGATGTCCCTACATTGTGTCTAGATTATCTTCCAAGAGATTTGAAAAGATTAGAATATTCTTTTTATGATTTTCTTGTCAAAACTATGATATACATCAAATGTAAACTGTTACCCATCCAGCCTTTCTCTTTTGCTTCTATTGAAGTTTGCACAGTTGTTGTGTTTTCCACAATCTTTTTGCATGTGTCGGGAGGGCCCTCTGAATTTTCATGAGTTCATATATATTGATCTTGTGGTTAAGAGTTCTGGTCAAGGTGATTTGTTCCTATTTCCCTCTGAATGTCAGGAGAAAGCAAGAGGATTGCAGTTGGAAAACTTGAGTATTTTCTCTCACTCAAGGCAAAGGGAACAGAATAATGAGCCTGACTTCAGGTTACATGAGGACTGCATATTTAGTAGGCCTAATCAAGAAAATGGAATACACAGCAGCATGTGGAGGTCTGGGGAAATACTTATATCCAACATTACCACTTAAAACTACTCTGCTAAGTCTGTGTGGGCAGCAGAGAGTAGCAGATAACTCAGAAAAATACAGTTCAGAATTTTGCAGCTTCTCCTGATCCTTTCTGATCAAAGATATCACCTCTCAAATTCTGTAATGGTGCCTTCAGTTATCCACAGAAAAGAGGCAGGTAAAGAATTTACTTCATTAAAATGCGGTGAAATGCAGTTTACTTTCAAGGCTGATGATTACAGTTGTAAATAAAGCTTTATTTTGAAGGATGTCAGTTGACTTTTGCTCCATTCAGATGAGAATTTTTGTGCATGACAGCAGAAGGAGGAGAAGGAACCGAATATGTATTGAACATGAAAATGGAAGAGTCAAAGCCTGAAATGGGGAGGCAAAGATACTACACATGAGAGCTTTTGACCAAGGCAGATAAGCTATGCTGCAGTTTATCTGCAGTGTTAGGAAATGATGGTTTCCTCATCACTTTCTTTTATTTTCTTGTTGAAAGATTGTCAACTGATGTTATACAAATGCATATCACTACCCTTTGTGTACAAGGCAGGGCAGTCAGGATTCTCTGGGTGGGCCACTACCCTGTCTTTGTAGGTGGCAAATGTGGATTGTTTTGAGCACATGAAGCTGAAAAGATCTCTGCTTTTTCAAGGACTCATGGCTTACTTGCATTGATCTGTCCTTCAAAGCTGTTTCCTAATCTCCTGTGCCTGATACCCTGGTACCCATATGTTTGATAAGGTTGAATTTCCTAACCACAGTTTCTGATCCCACTTGAAAATTTATTCTTTAGCTCCACCTCCTGGCTCTTGGTCCATGGAAAGGAGGATTCTTGGGAATCACAGAGCCTCAAGAAGGGATCAGAAGTATTCATCCTACTTTACAAATGCTAGTGTAGAGATGTATATGGGGACATTTTAACTGGGGCAAAACAGAATTTGTTGAGCCCACTCATACTGGTTTTCCACAGAGGCAGATGTTTCAATGAAGAGGTGGACAATGGAATATGTGGCTCATAGTTTCTGCTTTTTGTTAGGCTTTTGGTTTCTCAACTGTGGCAGTTTCGATGCATGACAGATATTACAGAACAGTCTTTCTTCATGACTGTTTTTTCTCTAGTACTTCCTCAATCTCATGGGGGCGGGGAGGTAGAGAAGAAATCTTCTGACACTGAAACATAAAAAAAAAAAGATCTCTGAGGCCTTGCAAAGGAGCCTTGATTCATGCAGGGAGCATTGCTTTGACTGTATTCATCCTATTCAACCAGGAACTGCCCAAGAAGTGGAGGAATAGAGCTAGTGATCTGGATTTAAGAAGCTGAAAACCATGTCTCTTCCCCGACAGCTGCGAGAAAAGAGGTAATATGTCTCTCCCTCCTCCCGCCTCCCCACAAGCCTCCGTATAACTGCTAAGATCTGTTAATTTGAATGCAAGCTTCTTTGATGATTCTAAAAGGTTTCTTGTTATCGTAGCTTCCAAACTATTAAGCTGCTCAGTGTAGAGCAGACAGTTCTTAAGTTGGAGTGGACTTTCTTCTTTTCATGGGGAATATTCACCACCGAGGACAATAGTGGCTCATTGTCCTCTTTATAGCTGCAAACAGTTTCTCTTTTACTGGGGTTTGCGATATGAGTGTTTGTGATATGACTAGTTATATCTCTTGATCTCCATAACCACATCCCTCTTCACAGTAAGTGGTAGTATTTACCGTGTTGTGGGTGGTGCTGATTCATGTCATTCTCCTCATACAGCAAGCTATTGCAAGACTTTGCATCATTACTTCAGCCTTCCAGATGGGCTACGCATTGTGGAAGCCCTTACTTGGGATATTCTCCTAGCAGAATAAACTGAGCCAACTGCCATGTTTTTTGTATTATCAGAATATTTAACATTATGTCAGCTTGGCATTTCTTAGATGATATATTTGAAAGTTTCTACCTACCTCATTTGTTATCCTTCTTTCCTCATTCTTGATACTTTTTACTTAACTGTTAATATAAATACCACTCTAACAACATTGAGTTGTAAGATTGAAACAAAAGTGAATTTGTCTTCTGTTTGTCAAAGATGTTGTACCAAGGAGAAGGTCCCAGAGGAAAAAACGCCTGACAATCCATGCTGTTTTATTGTGTGGACAATATAGATAAGAAACATGAGAATGTGGTCATATGGCTGCTCTTTAGGTGTTCTGGCAGGGATCCTTCCGTCTCTCTTGCTTCAAATCCAGTACTTTCTAGGATCTGCAAAGCTTACTCTAACCTTGCCCACTATCATGTGTTCCTTCACACATTTTTGACATTTTCAAACAAGTATCTTTGTGCTTGTTTCAGGTTATCTGATGTGACTGGGAAGTCTCCCTGTAAATATTTGCTAGGCTACTCATTCTTTTTTCAAAGCCTCTTTAAGAATCTGCTTTACTGTGATGTTTACAAGAAAACTTGACAACATTTTGACAGCTGGTGCAGGCACCACTAGTTATGATATAGAACAATACTATGTCTTTGTTTCCTTACTTTTTTCTGATTGTACTTATCCTGCTGTTGTTTCTTTTCTTATATGTATAAGGTACATTATATGCATCTTACACATAGAGTGTAAGGTTTTTAGGAATTATCTTTGTACTCTTACTTTCTACAGCACCTAGCACAACAAAATTTTTTCTCAGAACTGTTTCCTATTCACTACAGTAATGCAGTAATAAGAACAGCATAAATCGTGGTATATAATGATCTCCTTAGAATAAGAGATACTGCTGCAGAGTTGTTATTGTAAGTCTACTAGATGCTGTAGGAAGGATTAAGAATGCATCCCCACATTTGATCATGTTTCTCAGGAAAAGCTTACCAACTCAAGTGTTTCTTCTGTAACCTGCTACTGTAGCAAGCCTGGGAGCAGTAGTGATGTTTTTCAGGCTTGATGAATCTTCACAACGGTCACTGACGTGTGCTGAATGTATAGAAATTTGACATCTCAAGATCAGACCTCCAGAGGAAGAGAATTACACTCTGAGTTTCTAACTTCCTGGTTTTGACATTAGATAATGTGATGTTGCCTGTCTGTCTTTGTTCTCTATGGCATAGAGACCTCCTAAGGCTAATGCTGGTATGAGTAACCTAAATCTTTTGTTCTTGCTTCACAGTGATTTTGACCAGCTTCCAGATGATGTACCTGTTTCAGCTAACATTGCTGATATTGAAGAGAAGAAGGGCTTTACTAATTATTATGTAAGAAGGGAGATTTATCCTGTCTTTATATGCCCTCATCCGTGACTGGTTTGGTTGTGGGAAGCAAAATGCTATTAATCTGGTGTACTTGCTTTTTGGCATGAATAGTTCTGTGTGGAGAACTTCTCAGTGCTACTTTTTTCTGGAATGGGGGTTAGTCTATCACAGATTTAGTCTAAAAATGTATTGTCTGGTTGAAATGTGACAGAGGTATCCTCTAACATTGTATGTTTTCTAAATTCTTACCTCATTTCTGACTTATTTCCTGTTAGAGTGCTGTACCTTTGGTGAAGATAGTGGGAAAGCAATTCAAAGAGGGTAGAAGGGCAGGGCCTTGTCTTCATTATTCACTGGTACTGGCAAGTTAGTGTAGAAGGCAGCATATTAATAAGTCATGGAGGAGCACACAGGAAGGGAATAGTAGGGAAAAGCACTTGAGATTTTCTGAAGAGGAGTTTTGGGTAAGACCAGCTCAGTCTGACTTCGGCAGAGTGTGCTGCTTTTGCTGGGGACACTGCTCATAAAACCTTCCCACTGCAGTATGTGTGTATTACTCTGGAATATAGTGACATTTGGTTGCTCTGATTTTATGTTTTCTGGAGGATCTGGCTGCAACGTGACACAGAGGTCAGTGCATGGAGATTGTGGACTCCTTTAGAGCAAAGCACTTTTGGCAAGAGATAAGAAATAAAATAGTGATTGGAGGAGGTCAGACCATAATTTCTGAAATTGTATACTTTAAAGTCAAAAAGAAGTATGAATTCCTTCAACTCTGAAAATCAGTTCATTTAGATGTCTGTCTATAGATTTAGATGTCCAAAGCATCCTACTGTAAAATATTTGTATTTACCTCCCTAATATGTTTTTGTTTGAGGGAAAGTGTGTAAGCATAAAATAGCATCTAGTCATTTCAGATTTTCTTTTAAGGTTACGTAACAGAAAGCAGCCACAGGGACATGATCCATGGGAAAGCTGGACCCACAAGTATACCACACTGTCTGGTGCTAACTTGTTATTTTCTAGTACTTGAATCTGCACATGCTTAACTGAAGGCTTGCTTTCCACTCTGCCCCTAAGCCTATATTCCCACTACCAGAGCACTGATTTTATGCTCCTATTGTATGCCTCAGTTGCATTTGGTAAGGATTTATAATTATGAACATCAGTCTGAATCCCCCTTCTCTGTTTCAGATGTTTGTTATTGAAGTAAAGGTTAAAGGTGGTGGCAGATACCTGATTTTCCGACGCTATCGTCAGTTCTATGCCCTGCACACCAAACTAGAGGAGAGATATGGGGCAGAGAGTAAAAATAGCCCTTTTACCTGCACGCTCCCCATATTGCCAGGTAAGCTGTCAGTACCAAACCTGTGCATGATTAGCAGCTTTCTCAGCCCCAGGCTGTCCTAAGGAGGACAGTAATTGTGAGGGAAGTAGTTGTGACAAGGAACTAATTCCCAGTGGTGGAAGATGAAGAGTTCAAGTTCCGTTGTCAGTCCCTCCACTTGTGGTAAATTTCATTTAGAAACCTAAAATCCTTTAGAAAACATGTATTTTCTTGGAGATCCTACTTCCTCCTGATTGCTTCATTTCTCTGACAGCCTCCATGTTTTTTTTTTTTTCCTCCATAACTGTCATAGGTTTTATATTTTCCAGGAAAAGTTTATGTTGGGGCCAAAAAGGAAATTGCTGAGAACAGGATTCCTATCCTAAATGTCTACATGAAGGTAAAACTTAATTTTAAGGTAGAGATTGCACTCTTAAGGACTGCAGATACTTACCCCCTGAAATCAGCTAAGAGAGACAGTAATGTTGTAGTCTTAGGTATCTGCTTCTCTCTGTGTTGTTTTTCCTGAAGACACAGTGTCCACACTGTGGGACAGCCTGCAGTCCTATTCCCCAGACTGTTCAGACTGTAAGATCTGCTGAAGTATGCAGTTCATAAAGGCTCACTCCCTGGCTTCATATATAGAGAAGTATCCTTACAAACACCACCTCCCCCCCAAGATGTATGAGGAAATAGTGAATCTCCAGGTGTTGCGTGAATATGGAGTTGGTAAGTGCACCTGAGGGACTAGGAGAGTGGAGCAGGCTTCTTGGTGTGCCTGCTCCACAGTGAAGACACAGCCAGTAACATCGAGGAGAGAAAGTCTTTGTGTGCAGGTCAGCTGAAGACCTGACTTTAAATGAGTAAAAATCTGAAGCACTGGCCAAGACTTCCAGTACTTAAGATTGCCTTCGTTCCACAGTCATTCATGTTCTGAAGGGAAACACAAAGAACAATTTACTCCTTCTGCAGTAAATCAGGCACAAAAAGAGTGAAGCAATGCATTGGCCAACTCCAGGAGTAAACAGGAGAAACTGTCAGCTGTTCAGCTGCGTCCTGCTGAGTGAGAAGGGAGAGGAGGGAGATTTCTGGCAGTAATGAATATCCTTCATGATCCTGTAGGTCAGAGAGGCATATTTGTTACATGTAAATAAATAGAGAATTTGTCTCTCCCACCGTTACACTCTGTTTCCTACTTGCTTTTGGCACAGAACCTACTCTGCCTACCTGCTTGGGTGTTGATGGATGAAGAGGTACGGCTGTTCTTCTACCACTCAACCTTTGATAGTGAACAGGTGCCTCACAGACTGAGACGGCTTCGCCCACGGACACGCCGAGTGTGAGTGATTGACATGTTTTTTCGGCATTGCTAGATGTAAGAGATGCTGTCCAGTTTTGCCAGGAGAGAGAGATGAGGATCGCCTCTGTTTCCCAAGTGAGTCCATGAAGTCCTAATATGAGGATCTTTGTGGTAGAGTGAACATAGGGTATTTCTTGTTTTCAGTAATCTCAGATTTTTAAAGTGTATGTGGTAGTTGCATTAAAGGAAAATTCCAAAATGAGAGTATACCTTGCTTTTAAAAAACTGCTGCTCAGCTCTATCTGTTGGTAGTTCTTTAATGTAATATCTATTATAATGTGCACAATATACAGGCCAAACTTCAGGACACAGGCTTGCACCATGAAGTCAATGTGAGTTTTGGCACTGGATTCAGTGAGATCTGGTTCAGATGCTAAATGAAACTGAATACTTACTTTCTTCCCATCCTTTGTCTGAACAGGGGCCTGTCCTACATAGCAGCATTGACACCCCTTTGGAGAACTGCTAAGTAGACATTGTACTTCATTACCTTTCAGTCAAATTAATTCTCCTTTCAACATAGCAAAGGTGGACCCACTTCCTTTTTGCTGTGTGTGTGCATTCCTGGATGTGTGTATGATGGCAGTTTGAACTGAATGTCATAAATGCTAGAAACAGGGATGCCCAGAAGGCAGAGTAGGGGGGCTGAGCAGTGCTGTGGAAGAAAGGTCCAGGATACTGACTGTATTGAAAATTCCATCTGTTCTCAGCAGCAGACATCATCAGATTGCTACTGCTCTGCACTGAAACTGAGAGAACTAGGGCAATGTTGTTGCATCCATATTTATTTACTTCAGTGCTGCACACAGATTCTCATGCAGTTTCTCCAGTGATCTATTGCTTGCCTGTCTCTTAAGTAATGAAAATGCAAACATTGTACTACTGATAATGTAGTATTTTTGGTGACTAGAAAGACATACTTACCTTCCTGTTGTCTCCTTTCTTTGCAGTAAAAGCATTTCACCTCAAGTGCCTATTTTTGACCGCATGGCAACTCCACGGGCTGAGGTGAGTACTCTGGATAATCTGCCACAGGACAGGAGATTAAACTCTATTTTACTTTGGTATCTCATTGACCAAGTTGCCTTTTCCAATTCGAGCTTGAGGAAAGAAGGGAAAGTAAAATCGACACAGGAAAGCAATTAATTTTAACAACAGGGAATGAAACAAAGGATGGAAAGAAGTGTTCTGTTCCTCCTTACTTGAGTAATAAGAAGGTCCATTGTGAAGTCAGAATGACAGCAGGTTCAAAATTGAGAGACATGTACAGCTTACTGCAAATGATCCACATTTACATAGTGATGCCCATAAATTAAATTTAAAACAAGCACAAGCCTCAGTCTCATTGACATCAGCATGTGTTTAAAAGCTTTGCAGGTGAGACATCTTTCTTAGTATTTTCTGTAGCATAAATGTTCTACTGAAAAGTGCCTATACCCTTGTCTTCTGCTGTATATTGTCTTGGTTTTAAGCACATGGAACTGCTCTGTAACCAGTACTTGTCTGAGCATGGTCTTTCTTCCTGGAACATGTGACTTTGCCATGTAAGATTGAAAAAAACATACAAGTGCTTTGAGGTTTGTTGGTTTTGTTTTTTACATTGAGTATGGCAGGTTTAGCAGTATCAGTCAGATCTCTTGGGTTTTATCTATTAATTTATTAATATTGAATATACCTACCAAAACTTATCAATAGATGAAAAAAGGCTTTTGAAAGAGCTATTAAGTAGACATATGAACTACTAGCACAACAGCAGCCATTGTCTTTTTTTATATTAGTAGAACTCTTGACATTAACAAGACCAAAAGAATAATCTCAACACAGAATAAAGAACACCTTTTCATTTTTGCTCCTCTAAGAACATTTAAATGGCTAGCATGCTCTCTAAGGACAATGGGGGAGATGTGCATTTTTGATAACTAGGCCACTTCAATTATTCAAGAACAGCTTGTTAGGGTGGTAGCACGTGCTTACCTCATTATTATTTTTTTTTCCCTGAAGGGGGCATCTAAGTTCCATTTCAACTATATGTCAATTTCCCAGGCTTCCCTAAATCTCTCTGTTCAGCATACAGGCCTGAAAGCTAGATGTAAAAACAACAGTTAGTTACCCTTAAATTGGGACACAACACTTCTGCAATTTTTTAAGGCTCTTTGTGATATTTTGCAGCAAATCTGAAAGCTATAAAACTGCAACCAGAAATAATATATATTTTTGCAATTCTCAGGATTTCAGGTTTTCAAGTTATCAGTTATCTTCTGCTGTGTTGACTTACTTGTTCTTAAATGTTTTCACCTTCTTTATATTTCTTTCTCTGGTGCTCAGTGTCCTGCCACTTTAAGAATCCTAGCATGTAGCTCTCTGAGAGCCATGTTTATCGTAGTGCTTTCAATACTTCTTCAAAGCATTTTTGTGTGTGCTGTGTAGGAGAAGAAATTGTGAGAACTGCAGACTGCGGTCATATATATATGACCTTATCCCAGAAATACATCTGTGAGGACAAAGTGCATACTACTGTGCTGCTTTATGCTCTTACCTCAAGAACAGAACAGAAAGAAAGATTCACTTTTGCAATTCTGTCAATTAATAATTTCAGCATTATTACTTTCCATAGGCACTGTTTGATTTTTCTGGAACCAACAAACTGGAACTCAGCTTCAAGAAGGGAGACTTGATCTATCTACTCAGTAGAGTAAACAAAGACTGGTTGGAGGTAAGACTGCAATAGCAGTACTGAATTATTAGCATACCTTGAATTATATGAGTAGAAAGGGCTCTCCTAGTCCTTGGGACCTGTCTCCTTCTTTCAAGGAGAAACTGTATCATAATCAGGTCTTACTGTCAAGAGTAAACCCTTGACTCCGAATTTGAAATAGTTTCCTTCCTTGATGGTTTTTAGCTTACAAATTTTCTGCCCACTAGACTTCAGTTTTCATTTGCATTTGCTTCTGCTGGAATGTTTTAAAATTCTTTGGAAGTGATTAGAACACAAAAAGGCCACAGAAAGGAGATGGAAATTCCATTTCAGCGATTAATTGGTTTCTTGCCTCAGGGTGGGTTGCTATATACTTCATGCTTCATACCACAACACACGTCAGCCTGATTAGAGAGAACTTGGGCAATGCAGCAGTGTTCTGAAAAAAGATGAGGAGAACATACTGTGTGTTTGCTGATACGATATCTCTGCTTGCTCAAACACCACAGCCTTCCTTGGTAGCCATCTGACATTCATTTTTTACACACTGTTTCACTCCCCTGCCTTGTATTTGACTACACAATTGCATAATTTTTTTGGTAGGGATGCCATCAGGTCACTTCCATAGCCTTTCTTTTCTTGATTATAGTACAAAAACTCTTACTGTTGTTTCCAAGGAAATTAACTGAATTCCAGATCTTATTGTATGTGGCCAAAATGGCATGGTTTTCTTCATGCTAACACTTCCTGTCATTCCAGGGAACAGCTGATAATGCCACTGGGATTTTCCCATGTGCTTTTGTGAAGATTATAAAAGATTTACCACAGCAGGAAGACACAGTTAATAAAGTTCGTTGTTATTACCATGATGAGACTGTGAGCACTATCAGGTAATAAGAAAATAGTCTTCCAGTTTACTGCTGAAGAAATGCTGACAATTCTTTTTTCATGATATGTAATGATTAGATTTGTTCATGTTACAGGGATATTTCAGTGGAAGAGGATCTGAGCAGCATCCCGTCATTCAAAGATCTCACAGAATTGATGAGGTACAATACCAGCAGTTAGTTGTATGTTTTAGACATTTGTCAAGTTCCTTCCAGCCCTAGACTTTCCACATTCTACTTGGTCATCACCATGTTTTGGGTGTGAAGTACTTTTCAAGTGTCCTGAAGAAGTTGTACTTCGACTTGGCCCAGGGCCATCTGTGCAGACACTAGTCTGCCTTGGGGTTGTCAGTAAGTATGGAATGCCACACACTTCTAACCCAATTATGCTGGGTAGAAGTTTACATTTCTTGTTCTAAGATCAGAGCCATGTCCCCATGGAAGAATCTTTTGTCTAAAATACTTCTTCAGGATGCAGGACACCGCCTTCTAACACTTGTTAAACTAGTGTTAAACTAGATTAATCTAGTGTTGAACATCAACACATTAGAACATCAAATATTAGTAATAGAACACATGTGCTAATATTCTTCCATTCCTTAACCCACTCGGTCCTCAAAAAAAGCAACTGTAAGTAGGCAAAAATGGGTAGTAACTACAGTCAGCTCTTACATATGGGAATGTTATCAAACTCACAGATTAATTGTGCCATGCATGTGGTTTTACTGGAAATGGTTCTTGGTTCTGACAGATTTCTTAGCTTAAACACAACACGGCATGAATGTGGCTGTGTGATTTCTAGTACTATACTAACTGTATCAAGAATGCCAAGACACCTAAGGCTTTGTGTGGCTTTTAGCAGAATGAATTAGATTGCCAGTATATTGTTCATCATGCAGCACCCCCCAGGCATTCCTTGATTTCTGGGAATCAATCGATTTCTTTTCTACCAGGCGGGAGTTTGACCAAGATGACATTGTTTTGAATTACCGGGACCTTGATGGTGATCTGATCCGGTTGCTCTCTGATCAGGATGTTGAACTCATGGTGTCTCAGAGCAGGAGAAGGCCCTCTGAGAAGCATTTCTTCCCTTGGAAGTTGCACATCACTCACAAAGATGACTTAGGTGTCTACAACACTGGTCCAGGAATAGGTGCTATTCAAACAGTAAGAGCAACATAAGTGTTCTATAGAGATGTTCCAGTAGGTAGCTATACAGTCCTTCCATGATCCCTCTCTGCAGACAGTTTCCCTTAACAAGCCTTTGAAGTGAGCTTGGAAAGAGTAATTTTTTTGTAATATATTACCTTTCAATGTAAAATCTGTACTTAGTTAGCTTCTTCAGCTTTTTAGCACTCCTCTGTAATAGGGACATCTACATAGAGACCAGAGAAAGTGAGGAATAGAGAAATAAAATCACTGGCCATATTCACAAAGCAATTCAGTGTTGGTCTGCAATAGAGGTTTAGCGTCCTGAGGCTCAAGACCTGCTCTAATCTCTATTCTTGCTCCTAGAGCTAATTATTTGTCCAGAATGTCTTCATAAGCTTTTTTCCTAGACTGCCATAATTTTCTCTTCACTTACTGATATAAAGGTTTGTGTGCCAGTGCTTACGAATGTGTAATTATTTCTGTCACGTGGGAGACTGACTGGGCATTCAGAATTTGTTCTGGAAGCATCAAGAAAAATTTTTCCTATTTCAGTGAAGAAATTTCAACCCACCTTTGCTTTCTTCTTTCCAGTAACCAATATTATGAATTCTGTGAATCAAACTTGGTGCACCCATGGTGTTCCTCATAGACCTTTTTGTAATTGTACAGACTACTTATTGCTGCATTCTGGGGAAATTTGTGTGATGACTATTCAAATGGCAATTTCTTCTCTATCATCTTCTGCTTTCTGACACCTCACTGCAAAGCAGAACTAACAGAAATTACGGTATTACATTTTTCAACAAAGAAAGTTGCATATGAGTTTATTTTATCAGTTTCTATTCAAAAAGTTTTTTTGGGGGGATGAAATAATTCTGCTCTTTTTTTTTTGAAAGTGAGACAATTTTGAAGAGGAGTTTGCATGTTACCTGTTCAGGTTTCCTTAAGGAGGAGTTTGTTATTTAAAAAAAAAATTATATCTTGCAATAATTTTTTTAATGGTCATGCAATTAAAATATTTTCTTCTTGAACAAACTTACTGCTGTTGGTAAGAATTACAAGTTACGTATGTTTTACATTAACTGTTTGATAGCTAAAATGCTGTATTTTTAAAACACCATGCAGTCATGACTTATCCTTTAAACTTGTTCTTTTTTCTTCCTGATATATATACATAAACTTATTTATCTACATAAGCTTCTATATTCTATTATCCGTAGCCCTGCATTTTTGCAGATAAATGTATCGGAAATAAAGGAAAGAGTTTATATTTAAAGATAAGCATATTGTTTGCTTATTGGGATCCATAAATCATTTCATACTTGACACTTTATTAAGTGCATAGTTCTAGCAGTATACCAATCCGTACAGAATTGTATAAGAAAATGCACTCTCCAAAGAGTTGTAAGATGTGCTACTTTCCAGGTACAAACGCTACACCTAAAGAATCCATGCACATTAAATTTCAGAGGTAGGTATCATATATTCAGAAGAGACACAGATTATGTTTTCCTTTGTTCCAATGATGTTAGTTGACATTATTTTACTAAAATGTTACAAAACGTGACTTCCCACTTCAAAGGCACTGTAGCAATGCGGTCTCAGAAGAAGATGAAGCAATATACAATGATAATGTCAGTAATCTTACACCTTGTGATACATAAAAGAACACACTGTAAGTTTGAAACCTAATTGGCATGTATGGCCTGCAAAGCTTCTGGTATGCAGGATTACTTGTTACGTGTTCCGGGAGTTCAACAGAGCAAATAAGGTCTGAAGATTTTCACTGACAGCTAGATCCTGTGATGTAACCAGTAACTCAGCAAGTCTGAAGATGGAGGAACTGTTTGAGTGAGGAAGGAAAGGGAGGGAAAATGTCTGCTGGGAAACAAGAAACCTCTTTTCTAAGGGTGGGGGAAGAACATACGTAAACTCACTGGCCCCTGAAAATCAGAGCAGGAGAATTCCTTTCTGCCTTTATACTGTAATGCAAAGTAAATTCTGCCCATCCAGCAGTGGCATATTCCCCTCCTTGTCTGCAGGTTTTATATGCACACCTCCTGATAGTCCCAATGATACACAATTTCCTCAGATACTTTCATATTCTCCTTCTTGCTCTGCACATTTCCCTTATTCACAGTATAATTTTTTTTCCTTGTATATTGATGTAGTTCTTGTGAGAGCCTAACCATGCTAACTATGGTTTTGGTCAGTACTACAGGGATTTAGAGCAGGTGTAGTAGCAGTGCAGGACAGACAGACTCTGGCAGTTATATTCTGTATCTGGGACTCATCTTAGTCCCCTGTAGTTTACTGCTGAGAGCACAAACTTGAGTATGTCTTTCCCTTATAGCTACCTAACTTTCCTATAGATCTTATTATTGGATGCTACTGGGCTAAGTTTTAAAGATGGATTTAAAACATTGTGCCTGCCGTGCATGTAGGATAACTTCAGATAAACTCTTCTCACCAGTTTTCTTTTTTTCCCTCTATGTACTATAATACTTGTAAATTATTATAAATTGTTGTTGAAATAGATAAAACTTACTTTAAAAAATATAATTCAAATTAAAAGGTTACAGAGATAAAGGTAGTTCTGTTCCCTCCCACCCCCCCAATATATATGTACAAATAAACATAAAGTACAGAATGATCCCTCCCTTGAAGATTGTCTAGCTTAGACTAAAGCAAGAAACAGCACTGGAGTAAAAACCAAAGGATTCTTTCTTAGTCTTTCTCACTTCCGCTGCAATGAATCCTCTTTTTTTTTTTTTCTGAAAATACATTAGTCCTATGATCTAGTAATTGTTAACACGCAGACTGGCAATGAGAAACTTCCTTCCCCTCCTTTCCCAGTTAAACAGTTCCATCTAAGTAAGTGCTTTGGGGGCTAAAATAGGAAGTACAGACTTCCTATTTTACAGGCAATTACACAGACTTTCCTTGAAAGGGCGTGGTCTGCTTCTTTGAAAGTGGCATTTGAGGTGCATAGAAGATACAGCAGTTATTTTGAAGACTTACTTGCCAAGAAAATCCTGTGGTGGGTTTATACGTTCTGTCTCCAGTTCTAGGGAAGTGTGGTTTTGCTGGTTTCTGCATCAGAGGATTCTGATGCTGTGGGGGGAGGCTGGACAGGGAGAGTCACCCATCAGGTTGAATCGTTTGCCTCACCAACAGCTCTGGATCCAGGTAAGGGAACTGCTTCGTCTCTGGGGAAAGCAAAATGGCAGAGGCTGCTCTCATACAAGGGCTTGTCAGTCATTGAGGGATTCCTCAGCTGTAATTATTATTCAATGGCTCAGCCAGCTGTTTCTGGTATAAGGAAGTGGCATTCAGGAATCTAAAGGAATTTAAAAGGAGTTTTTTCCATGCTCCTCTAAAGTAGAAAAGAGTCTCAACTCTGTAACATACTTCAGTAGGTAAGTTTATTGTACTTTTGAGAGAGCAATGAGAGATGGCCAGAAGGACTTGAATTCCAGTATGAAACAATGTGGTCCATGGTCTTTGAACCACTCAAGCTACTCTCAATCTCAACAGTCATGAAAAAAAAAGAAATAGTTTCTTTGGGATTATTTCTACAATTTGCAACTTGTTTGGGGAGCAGCTGGAAAAGTAGCATGTTGAAGAGAAATCTGAAAGTGAATGAATATGGAAATTCAACTCCTATAGCTGCCAGGAGCTGTGTGGTTTAGATCATATTTTTAAGGAAAGGTAAAAAATGGAACACCATTGCAGTTCGTTAGGAAGGCTTTGAGCATGAAGAGCAGAAGATGAATGAATATGAAGGCTGAGTTCTCTTCACAGATTAGGATTGTTTCTTGTTGCTAGTCAGCTGAAAGAATCCCTGCACTTCCTTGGAAATGTGCATGTAATTCTTTATTCTTTGTGCATATTGCAAGCTCACACAATAAGAAGACATGGATTTTGTCCTACAATAAATACCTGTATAAGTTCTTTCTGAATGTCACTCCAACACAAAGCCTAAAGAAGTTCCCTAATTCAGTTTTACTTCTCTTTATGTGAAATGAAAACAAGAAGCTCCACAATAAGCAGAGCAAGAGAGTAGCCAGTAGGCAATGAAAACAATTATCTTCTGAACTAGGATCAAGCTTGTGCACAAAGGACGGTATGATCATGAAAGAGATTTTCATCCTTCTGCTGAATCTGTATTTGGTCTTCAGTGTCCAAGACATTCGAGGTGAGTTGCAAATTTGTGTTCTCTTTTATCCTTCCATTATTGCCTTTCTTTTTGTATCTGTCTCCTTCTTTCAGCTAATGCTCTTCCTCATTTTCTGCTTGCTTTTCTGCTTCCTTCTGCCACCATCTTCTGTGCTGGAGAACAAACATCTTCATCAACACCAGTGTGTAGCAGATGCATGTGCAGACAAATCAGTTGTATGTTGGTGGAATGGACAAGGGAAATAGTGGACAAATGCATGAGATGAAAAAGTTGACTAGTTAATGAGTGAATAGGAAGGAGGAATAGACCCTGATAGTTAGGGAAAACCTAGGAAACTGAAGGGCTGCGTGATTCAGATGGTAGCATACGGTAGAGACAAGTGGACAGACACAAGACAGGGATGTGTGTGGAGGCTACGAACAGCAACATCCAGATGACCTGATTTTCTTCCGAAATAGCTGACAGTTAAAGAGACCATCTGGTATATCCATTGCTTCTGTTTCTGAGTTAGATGTCTTTCTTCTTCTGATGTGAGGTGAACTACTTCCTTTCTCCTCTCCTCTCCTCTCCTCTCCTCTCTCCTCTCCCGTCACTCTGTCCTCTCTCCTGTCCCGTCACTCTTTCTTGTCTCCTCTCCTTCCTTTCCCTTTCACCTAATTTGATTTAGCAGAGCTGGGAATGGGAAGTATCTCCTTGGATCACCCAGTGCACCATGTCTGCATCAAGACTAAGCCTATATCCATCCTAAACGTATCAGAATAAAAACATTATCAGAAGGTGTGCCTCATGGACATCTACCTTTTCCAAGACAGATGCCAATGCCTGATGTCTGCAGTAGCTGAGGGAGTTATGCTGCCTGGCCCAGTATCAATTGCAGGACATCTCCCTTTGAGATCTCTGAGGGAAAATGTATTACTGTGTAGGTCAGACTGGTCTCTTGGCATTCCAAGCCTTAGCCTTACATTCAGACCATCCCGTTCTATGTAGGATACTCCGTTTTCTGGTTATGCAAGTAATGCTCTAGAACTTACTTTGCACTGGTTTTCAGTAGAAGATCAAAGTAAGGTCCCTCTTACGCCTGCTAGCTAAGACACCATCATACTTTTCTGATGTTTTTTGCCTGTAAAAAGCCCCTCAACCAAGCTGATAGTAGTTCTTACCAAGAAAATTATTTAAGAGAGCATGCTCATGTTTGCCTGCTGACATCTCTGTCATCTGAAGGTCATATCCTAATAGTGCAGCACAGATACTACCTTCAGAGAAAATAAAGAAGGAGAAGAAAGCAACTTGCTTCATAGTGCATGCACCAGGGGCAGCCTGTATTTTCCCACTTCACAGCTGTGAGCTTAAAAAAAGAAAGTATTTATCCCTGATGGGAGGTCTGGCCATTTCTGGGTCATAAATGTAGTTCCAGCAAATTAGTTTGGGCATTCTTCTGAGTCATAACAAGAGTCTTCCCAGAGCATCTCACGTTTAAATATACCTTTCTAGTGTCATAATCTTTACTAGGAGGTTAGTGGCAAAGAAGTCCCATAGAGCAACACACAAAGATGAAATTATGACTATATGCCTGCTGACCATGGTATCTGCTAATCCCTGGAAACAATCAGTGTTTGAAAAGTGATACCTTGACTAGAATTATGTGCCTTGCAGGCACAAAGGTCTTGCTTCATTGTTGTTACCTGTAGCTTGGTTTGGACACTTGTGTATTGTGGAGATGTACAGAATGGCTGCAACTCTCTACATGCTTTCACCAAGAGTCATTTTCTGATGCCATGAGGAGAGTACTGTTACCAGTGCTTCCCCATTCTGCTGGCAGAATCACTGTACCTCCTGTTATCTCTCACTATTTACATTTGTAATCATTGCATCTTTTTTGTCTAATTTCCTTTCTCAGAGAGTATCCCTATGAAGAACTTGAGCTGCTACAATGACTACAACTCACAGGTGACCTGCACATGGATGGAGCATGCAGAAGCTCATGCCCTCATTGGTATGACTCTTCACCAAAGGAATAATGTTATAACGTAAGTACCTGAAATGTGCTGTGCTGGATAAAAGTCCAAAGGGAAACTGGCCACAGCCTGGAATCCCAGGGACCAGCAGTCAGGTTTTTGGAAAGCATGGCCACATTTTTCTGTCACTGAGTTAAAATAGAAGTTGTGACTGCTTCTGAGGCCTCTTCTAGGAAGGATGGAATGAATAGCGTGTGGTAGTGGAGTTATTTTTATCACTTTTACAATTATTTTCCCATAATTTTGTTGTGGGATCATAGATATGAAATAATGTGGGACATATTGGTTGCAATCAGTGGGGTGGAGAAGATGGCATCAGAACAAGTGTGAACCTGAGCGTTGTTTATAAACCTAAAAGGGTGGCGACACTCCCCCTGTTATTTTGCCCATTTAGAAGCATCACTGAGAGCACAGTTTTGATCACTTCTGAGAAACATATATAGACTGTGTGTTTGTGAGATAGAGAAGACTGGTAAGTTCATCTGTGCTATCACTTTTCCTCCCAGAGATACTGGTCTGCTTATGACAGTATCTCTCTGTTACATCTGTTTCCTTATGAAAAGGGAACTGAATCACCAGATTGGATCAATTGTGAGGATAAGAAAGGACAGAGAGGGAGGAATAGTCAAGGGAGAGAGGAAGACAAAGATGGAAAGCTGAGAAGAAAATGAATTTGAGTCTGGGGATACAGGAAGGAAAGGAAAGAGAAAGAACTCTTGATTTTATTGTAAAGAAGAGAGAATTAATAGACCTAAAAGCAGCTGAAATCAGTGGAAAGTCTTTGGAACAGGACCTTGAAGCTAATACTTCTGGGAAGAGATGATATAAAATTACTTGGACCTTTGGAGGATTCTCTGGAACATTGTTACATGATGGAGTGTGTGGATCACACAGGAAACATGACTGAACTAATCAGACAAGCAGGTACTAAGTGTTGACAGTCACACAGCTGAAATCAAAATGGTGAATTATTAAACAAGATCAGCTCATACATGAAGAATAGTTGACTAAATTCCAAACTATAAAGTAGCTGGTGAGTAGATAGAAATATCTTCAGGAGTTCACAATCCTCTGGCTGATTCTTTTGTTTAAGAGTACGCACATATATGGTCAGTCCCACCCATACTTGAGTTTCCTCACTAACACCCAACTTTTAAAAATAGTAGTAGTGCTGAATAATGCTTACTGACATATAGTTGGCTAGGAGACTCTATCATACCCTGGAAGACAGTATTTGGCCTTAGATATTCACAACAATATTTCTCATCTGAACTGGAACAATATAATATACTCGGCTGGGCATGAAGCCATAAGCACAAACAAAATTCCGGAGGGTACAAAAAGAAGTAACACATCTCTCCAGCAGTTCAGGCTACTGCAAGCACACAAAGCTTATCCTCTCCTGTCTAGTTTAAAATATTGTTTCTAATTTTCTTGATGCTCCTTGGCTGTGAGAAAGGCTATCTAAAAGGATGATTAACATTCTGGATGAAATCTTTAATGAATACGTAAGGTCCCTTAGCAAAACAGAACTACTAAGGATACAGAAGTACATTTTGGTTGGAGAAATTTTTTTTTAAGTGTCCTTCTGGGACTGCAAAATTAATGTCTACAGGAAGCTAAGGATCATCAGAAACTTTACTGCCTTTTACTCTGAGTAAAAGGTGCATTTCCATGTCATTGTTTTCCATCATACTATTTCTCACATAAAAAATACGAGATAGCACAGAGTTAGGCTAAAAACTAACAAAAATAGGCTGGTACCAAAATATAACTTTCTGCTGCACAACTTTGAAATGGGAACAGATTTGACAAAAATCCTGGTGTTAAAACTGTTGATCATGTTAACTGATGCAAACCAGGACTAATAGGTACAGTGAGAAGAGGATATAAGTGCCCAAGTAAATTATAACAACAGAATGGGATGGAATCGGTTTCAGGCATTTAATTTTGCATTTGTAGGTCTCCAAATCAGATCTTTATAGATCACTTTCTCTATACACAGGGAGAACAAGGAGATGCTTTGCAAACGCCAGATAGAAAATGACTTACGTGAGGCTCCAGATATGTATGTGCACTGGGTTTGTCGCAACACTACAGACTATTTTGGAATAGGGGTAAATGACATTTACAGCTTCAAACCTAACAAGGTGCTTCAAGCTGAACTGAATGTTGATCTCTTCCAAAATGGTAAGAATTAAATACCAAATTCTCATTTTCCAATGAATGTTAGGGACCTTTGAGAATGTATTTGCCGTTCAGTCAGGAAGAGAATTCCACTTCCATTGTGAAAACTGCCAAAGAGTTCCACATTGAGAGGATGGGGCAGGGAGGGGAGAGGGCAAGTTTCTCAGAGCAGCTGGACCTGGAAGGGGGACTCAAGCAGGAGCTACTTGGTATGGCAGGGATAAGATACTCTGGAAATGGGGAAGCTTACGTGTTTTCTTCCCCTGTTCATGTGCCTGTCCTCCCTATCTCATCTCATGGGTTGTACTTTCACCTCCCAGTTCAGACTCTCCCACCTCAAAACCTCTCAGTCAGCTTGATGAGATCAGGAGACTTCTTGCTGACCTGGAAAGCAGCTGATGGAAGCCAAGGGCTGGGCAATGCACTGGAGTATGAAGTCACTTACAGGCGGGAGTGGGAGTCCTGGGAGGTAAGAGTGGAGGAGTTGGGCTGTCCTGGTTTGGGCTGTGCCCTTTTGGGTGTTTGAAAGCCTGTGCGAAAAGTTATGCAAATGAATGGCCTTTCTGTTCTCAGGCAGTATGAGGAGATGCAACAAATGTTGTTTCAGGTCGGGCGGAAGGGGCTCTCTTTCTGTTTGCAAGTGACTTGCCCAGTGAGATACCATTTGTCCTGAACTGAATGCAAAGATCTGTTCTTCACTGAAAAAAAAGCACTGTGCTTGGGTTTTGAGTTGGGATTGATTTTGCCCCGAATCCCTCCCAAATGGAATCAAATCGTGTTCCAGCAGGAGCCTGTGGGTTTATGTGGGAAAATGGCAAAATACATTTGAAGCTGCTTCCCCTTCTAGAAGGATATGTTTTGGGTGGGTTTTTTTGTTTGTTTGTTTTTAAGAGTTCATATCCTTTGCCCTATTGTTTCCCTAGATCTGCATGTTTCTGTTCTGTACCTGTCAGCCTGAGCATTAGTTTTTAAGAGAAGTATTTTGGCCAGATTCCTACAAAATTCTGCGCTGAGCAGTGTTGTGAACTTGTGTAGCTAGTGCTGAAGACAACTGGGGCTCTACAAGCTACAGGACTTAGCTCACTTGCTGGGGTAGATTGTGCCTGACAGTCCCTGTGCCTCACCCTTCTTGTGCCATGCTGGCAGCATGCACGCTGAAGCCCCTCTTAGTATGGGAGCAAGGAGCACTGCACAGCAGCATGTGCATGAACCATCACATGCATGACACTGCTGGGAGATGCAGCCTGGCAGTCACCTCCTCTTACTCTTGCCTTGTCTTCCCGCGACCCCTCCATTCCCCAACTCCCCATTTTCCTCCCTCCCCTCTCTCCCTCCTTTCCCTCAACAACAGAAAGCTGCCTCGCTCTTGCTGTCGAACACCACACGCTGGCATCTCAGCCGCGAGGACCTTGTCCCAGGGAGCAGCTATGTTGCCCGTGTGCGAGCCAGACCAGGGCGGGCCAGCGGCTTTTCTGGGCAATACAGTGAGTGGAGCCTGGAGGCGTCATGGGAGACCCCTGAAGGTAGCGTGGGATGGAGCGGGGCTGTGCAGGGGTGGAAGCGCTGGCCGAGAAGCCAGACCTTTCCTGTCACTTAGCTTGCTCTCATCTTCTCTGAAGATGACCTTCAGCCCAAGAATCTTCGCTGCCTCTTCAATGGTGCAGATCGTCTGACGTGCAGCTGGGAAGTGAAGAAAGCAATCATCACCTCTGTCCTCTTTGGCTTGTTCTTCAGGGCCACACCGGCATCAGTGTACGTGCTCTGCCCATGGCAGCATGCCTGTGCCTTGCCCATAGAGTTTCTGCTCTGTCCCATTTCCCCGGATCGCAGCTCAACCTCTTTTTTTCCCCTCAGAGAAGAGGAGTGCTCTCCTGTGCATGAGAAATTTTTGCTCCATGTCCCATATGTGGTCCAGAGCTGTGAGATCCCTGTTAGCAACTATAGCAGTCAGAGCCAGTACCATGTGTCTGTCCGGACCAAGACAGAGGAGAAAGTGATTGAAGCCCACAAGAACAGTGAGTTGCTGTGGTGTTTCTTGCTTCTTGTGGTTGTTTCTTGGACAGGACTTGCCTGGCTGGGCAAGTGGAGCTAAGGACAGCGGTGGTGAGGAAGAGTGGGTGGGAAGAGGAAGAGACGAGGACTGATGAAAAAAGGAACTGGATGCTGTGTCAGGTCAGAGGTCTGGGAGAGATGGCTTGTAGGTGTGGAGTTCCTCAGTGGTCACTTGTTACTCTGAGGAAGGTGGCAGCGGTGGAAACTGGAGTGCAGCAATTCAGCTTGTGACCCAGAGCTTCTTGGTAAGCAACTGCCACCCTGCTGACTTCTCTGTGATTGACCTTCGTGGATGTCCCCGGTGACAGGGAGCTGTGGTGAGAGGTGTTTGTGGGGAGCCTGTCACTACGTGGTTTCTCAAGAAGCCAGTGGAGCTCTTGTGGGTTTGTGCTGTGGCCCCTGGCGCACTGGACGAAGTGGGACTCCTCTGCTGAGTGAGGAGTGCCAGGTGGATCATCTCCGCCTGCATGTACCTGGAGCTACTGGTGCTACTTTTCACAGACTGAAGCTGGGAGAGCTCCTGCAGTAGGTGAAAATATCAGGCAGTAGCTCCAGGAGAGCTGAAAATCTCTGAAAATGTGGTGGACCAGTACAGATGTTTCACATATTGCTTCACTGCTTTTGTGTACCCAGGGAGTGCTGTCAATATTAATAGATATGGATTTTCTGTTATTTAATGGTCTACTGGTTTATTATAGTTGACTAGAAAACAAAGATGCAGAGAATTAAGGAGTGTTAAAAAGCTGAGACTTCTTACATTGCATAAACCAATGTTTTACATTGCAATGTTTACATTGCATAAACCAATTGTTTCCAGTTTCTGGAAACTGTTCACAGTGGTGAAAGGGAGTGCTGGACCAGTATGT